TGCCTAGTACAGTTATTGCCTGTGAAAGCATGTTATATTATTTAATGCTGTGGTTTTCTAAATTATGAGGGGTATTGGAATCAGTTGGATTAAGTTCTACATTCGCAATTGTCTTCTTCCCTACAACTCCAAATTTTTATCTAATTAAGAGCTAATCTAGTCCAGCTAGCATGGCTCAGTGGTTGAGCTTCTACTTATGAACCAGGAAGTCACAGTTTGATTCCCAATCAAGGCATATGCCCAATTGCGGGCTTGATCCCCAGAGTGAAGCATGCAAGAGGCAGCTGATTAATAATTCTCTCTCATTGTTGATGTTTCTCTCTCTCTCTCTCTCTCTCTCTCTCTCTCTCTCTCTCTCTCTCTATATATATATATATATATATATATATATATATACACACACATATATGCTAAGCTAGTGTTTAAAGATTTCAGAGAGCATATTCCACCATGAGGACCATTTATTAAACATATCCACATGTATTTGCCTAGTCTAATTATAAACCTTGAATCTTGGTCTGGTGTTTCTCTGTAGTCCCTGGTTTGATTCTGAATAAATATTCAAGCTTAAATAAATTTTAAGATGAAATACATAAATGTATGATAATATTTATATCTTATGAATTTTAGGTTCAGTTAAATTCTAAATGATATTTCAATTAAATTTTAAGTTAAAAGTAGTTAACATTTCTTTAACTCATCGCAAGTGTTGAACACATAAAATCATTCCTTAAACAAATTCACACTTACATACACACACTTTGAAAACCCCATTTGGGAGTCCCAATAATCACTCAGTATTTATGGCAGGTAGCATTTATTTGACACATTTACCTGTTTATTAGTTTGATTTTATATATTTGAACTTTTCTGACCATTGCCTATATTTTGGTTTAATCTTCATTGACATGTAAGAAACCAAAAAATATAAAAGACACAGACTCATTACTACTTAATTCTTTTACCAAATATTTCATGTGTGTGGCCATTCTTTATTGATTCCATTAATGCATCTCCAGACACAAGTTATTTATGTTGACAAAATTTAGAGTTTTCCTGGACATTCACCATTCCAAACAGTGGCTTCCCCCACACTCCTAGCAGCCACCTCCTGTTCCCATACATAAATGGCAGCCAGCAATGGCTGGAAACAAAGGACTCTCTCCCAGTCCCTGAATACAGTGACATTCATTCTGAGAGAAGCAGGGGCAGCTTTTTGAAAGCCGACTTCTTCAGCTGGACAATAACACACAATGAGTTATTGACTTGTTTATATACGGAGCTCTTTTCAGTAACTAACTCTGACTCCCACAGTCTGGACAAATGATTGATTTCGTGGTTAGAAAAAGAGAAAGCTCTTACGCTAAAACTCTGTAGTGCAAACTACTTCTTCCCCATTTGTTCCCAAACTGAATAGAACCTTATTAAAATGCACTTTCCAAAAAAATACCTGCAGCTGGCCTTTATAACCATGTTTTGTATATATAAATAAGTAATTTGTCCCAGTCTTTTGTATATTAACAGACCATTGGGAAACTTGTCAATATATAGGAAGGCTGATTGTCTTGTTGTTTATGCTGAACTGTATTGCCTATATTGATCTGCATGTAAACTATGGATCAAACAATTTATTAATAAATCAATATTTACTAATCAAAGACAACAATTTTTGATAGAAATAAAGATTTAATTTCTTGTTGGGTTATGTTGATTTATTAAGGACTTTATATACAACATACATCATATATGTCATACTTGAATCATTAGCTATTTTCTGAATACAAAGAAAACTACAAGTAGAACTACAGTTCAGAACCCTGAGTTTGGTTGGACTGATAGCTCTTTCCTGTTTGGTCAGTACTTAAATGGAATGTCAATATGAATTATGTAGGCAGGACACAACAGTTTCTTTGATTACTATACCTTTTATAAAAATACTAATGATTGGAGGTATTTTCTCCTATAAAATAGATTGTATCTTACTATATATTGAAGTGTTTACACAATTAGCCTTTAAACAGAATTTGTTTTTCTCTATCTGACTTATTTTACTTAGTGTAATGCCCTCAAGCTTTATCTTTGTTCTATGTTTGTTAATTTGAAGGTTTTATTCTAGGATAGGATATTGTGGACCTCACTCATTTATAGAGTCACCAGGAATCAGAGCTGACTTTATGGCACAGAACACATATACTATTTTTATACACAAAAATTAGCCTCAGAAATTACAAAGTCATTGACAGAAAAGAATATCTCATGTATTTTAGATAAGAACAGCCAATAAAAAGTATCTAGTTTTATTTTAAAGAAGAGACAGGGTGCTCTCTTCTAAAGTGATAGGATAGAAGAATCCTACTATTATTGTCATGTCCTAGGATGTGGGAGAGAAATGCTATTGGTATGGCATATTATTAATACCTTAGGGTGAAAATGTACTCTTTGAATTTGACATTTTATTTTCAATAATTTTCCTTAAGTGATTGTAATAAGCCTCGCTCTCGCTCTCGCTCTCTTCTTCCTCTCTCTCGGCTGGTCTGTTTCCAGAAAAGGCCATGTGTGTATCCTTATATTTTGTTTACCATTTAATTTCCAATAACTTGCTGGATTCTCTATTTGGCAGTATGCATATGGTGCTTTTCAGTACTGTTGATGTTTTCCCCTCAAGCTATGTACAGTATTTCGGTAAATGTTGAGTATTGGAATGAAGGTGATTTTTCTAACTAAAGCTCTTTCAAATGTAAAGAATTCCCATCTTCAAAGAATTCATTGGAAGCAGTTCTAAATGCCATGGTCCTGAGAGACCTCATTAGAATCTAACTACTACTTTGGCATTGTGTTTTGTGGTTATGTTTTTGTTTTGTTTTGTTTCTCTTCAAAAATATCTGCTCTGAATGTTTTTGCATTTGGAAATCAATTATGTAAAGGATAGATAAGCTTGATAAATATTTTCCCAGTCACACTCCAATTCACTTATCTATTCCTGATATGAGAATTCCCCAATGAAGAAATAACCATGGAGACTTGACACAATATATTGTGCCTCAGTTTACAGATAGGATTCCATGAATGGAAGTTGAGTTTGATACTTGGTGTTTTATAATATTGAGGGTTTTTTTTTTTATTCCTACAGCACAGGAAAATATTTTCCTCAGGGAGGGGGATTAATAAGCCTAAGAATAGACTCATATAATATTTCCCCTCAGTTTTATTGAATATAATTGCCATTTGGTACTGTGTAAGTATAAGGTATAGAGCATAATGACTTTCATGTATGGTGAAATGCTAACTTCAGTAAGTTTAGTAAATATCTATCATCTCACATAGATACAAAGAAAACCCCAATTTTTTAAGCTTGTGAGGAAAACTCTTAGGATCTCTTAAAACTTTTAAAAATACCATATATCATTGTTAACTATAGCCATCATGTACATTACATGATTTTTTAAAAACTTGTTTTTGGTAAATTCTCAATCTAGGATAGAGATCAGCCTGCCTGCCACCTGTTTTTTATTTTATTTTATTGAGGCATAGCTACACTCATTCATTTATATATTGTCTATTTCATGATATCAGGTCTTAGTTGAATAATTGCAACAGACTGTATACCCACTCCCAAGCCTAAAATATTTACTATCTGGCCCTTCACAAAAATATTTGTCAACTACTTATCTAGGCTGGTCATCAGACGAAAGATTCCTGGATCTTGCCTCTCCACCAAAACAAATCTCTGATATAATGAGCTGTATCACAATCAGTAGATGAAGAATTCATAGGTACATCCAGCCATGTGGCTCAATGGTTGACCTATGAACCAGGAGGTCATGGTTTGATTCCCAGCCTGGGTTGTGGGTTCAATCCCCAGTGTGGACCATGCAGGAGGCAGCCGATCAATGATTCTCTCTCATCATTGATGTTTCTATCTCTCTCCATCTCTCTTCCTTTCTGCAATATATATATTAAAGAGTTCACAGGCGTGATATTATTCATATAGAATATATGCATAGTTAGATTGAAGAGCCTATATCATTGGCTCTGCCTCCATTTTATCCCAAGTATAAGAGTGGGTCTTCAGGCAAGGTATTGATTAAAGATTTATGTGAACTTTCCATTGTGTAATGGTTAGCACTCTGGACTCTGAACTCAAGCATAATTGGCCAGGCATACAATTGAGACCTCTTTAAAACATACAAAACAAAGCAAAAAACATGGTCATTATTCATTTTTAATCCTCAATAAAAAGAGACAACATGAAAAGTCCATCGTTTAAGAGCTAACTGTTCAAGATCCCAATTCAGAGGATTCAGTATCAGGCTATTTTCTTTCTTTTTTTTTTTTTTTTTTTGTATTAATGTCAATTTGTTGAATGAATATTATTGAGTGAGTTTAGTGTTTTCCTTTTGTTGAAAACAGTATTTTGTTTACATGGAGACTATTTATAAAGAAATATAGAATGGACTACATTCATCTTTTTATAAGAGTTAGTGGCAGTAGCAGAAGACCTTTATCTGGCTTTGTGAATAGAGCAGATCAAAGGTAACTGTTCAGGTATTTCAGGTGCATTATCCTTTGTTGTGAAATATTATAAACCATTTTGCACCATTCTAGAGTGTTTGAATTGACATTTGCCTTTGGTTTATGTCCTTGAATTCTTATCCTGACATAACAGCAGCCAATTTTTTCCCTACTGGCAATAAAAGAGGAAATATCCGCCTCATTTTAAAAAGCTGCCATGCTCATTTTGATAAAATGTATTTAAACTATTGTCAACTATCTGCATATCCAAATCATATCTCAGTAAATTTAAAAGCAACAAAAGTGGAAGTGAAAATTTCAGTATTAAATGTTTTAAATATAAAAAATAAACTTTAGACTTATTTATTTCAATGGAATTAATTCATTTTCACATAAGTATTTGGAATTTTCATGATTGTGTTAAATTAATTGTTTGAGTAAAGGCTGCTCTTAGGTATAAATAGGTGCCTATTTTTTTTTTTTTTTAGTTGAACCTGGCTGTGGATGAGCAAAAAGAGAAAATTACGGAAAAAATCATTCTTTCTATGACAGCAAAAGAACTCAATAAGGCACAGGAAGAAGTAAGGAACTTGCTTTTTAAACTATATTGTAACATCACAATGAACACTAATTTTAGAATTAAGACAAATTACTTGGGTCTGATGGTGAACCAAATAACTATATATAGTTGCCTGATAACAACATAATGGGAAAATTTATCAAAATAATTTTATTGATATAGGAAGCTTGAAAAATAATTATATACTTGAAAGATTAAATTATATTGTAATTTTCTGAAAAATATTTCTGAATGCTTCTCATAAAAATATCGATTTAGGAAGTTATTACATGTGACTAGAATCTGAAAATTATAAAATGCACTAGCAGGAAAACCATTAAAATTTTGTTGGACTTTAAATAAATATTAAATCTTATTTGTATTTTCTGACTTTCTATGAGTAGAATTATTATTATGAATTTGAGAAACGCTAACAATGTTTTCTGTTATCAAGGAAAAACTGTAGTCTACAAATGTCAGGTCTAAGTGAGCTAACTATAAGATTCTGTTGTCAATATTGTAATGAAGAACCATTAAAGCAAACCTTCTTCTCTCCAGAGCTCATGCTGTGAAGCTGACAGCATCCTCGTCCATAAATGAAATTTTAATACAAAATTAATGTTAGAAAAAAGGGGAAAATGATTTTTATGTAGTTTACTGGCATACAAAAGCATTTAATCTTTCTGAAACAAGATGATGGTTTTGCCCATTTCCATGTGCCACTGTCAGTAAATAAAATCTATAAGCAACTTAAAGAATAAGATAGTGTCAATACTTAAAAATTAAACTTTCATGTAACTCTCTTGACATTTTAGCAAATAAATCTAGGCAAGGTTTAGATTTTTTAGTATTTTCTTATTTTGATTATATCTCTTTTGTTAACTATGTATTTTACAATAGATGAAAAGGTACAATGCATTTTCCTGAGTGAATTTGTCTTACATTAGTGACTACATTAATATTTAGGAGTTATATATGTCTAGTATTAAAGACTATATTGCAAACATTGATTGGTAATCTCAGTAGAAAATATCTCATAAGAAAAATTCAAAGATGTAACAAATACAATTGTATAGATTTAAGTTATAGTTCTCATTCCACTTAATATAATATTAACAAGTTAAAAGAGAAAGTTTTTAATGACAAATTTTAAAATGTTGTCCTCTATTTATTTTTAAAATGTTCTTTATTACAATTGGAGAGATTTATTATATTTTTTCAGTAAATTTAAAATGACTCTATCATGTATCTTGGTATGGTAAACTTTAGAAAATGAAAATAAATATCTCTAGTGTAATTATAATTATATCTATAACACAAATTATCATTAGAGAGAAATAGGAAATTTAAAAAATGAAAAAATAAAAATATGTACACAGATAATAATTTAATAAAAAATAATTTAGCAGAGAAAAAAATAAAATAAAATAAAATAAAAAATGAAAAAATAAAGTATTTTCTGCCTTTTAAATATTATAATTGTTTACTCTTTGATATTTTATGCAAAATTACAGCTTCAATGATCATTATACTAAATATATAATTTTGAATGCTACTTTGCTAGCCAAACTGGAAATGAAAAATTTTTTTTTTCTGGAAAATCCAACAGTATTATTCATATTTGATATTTTTTCTCTATTATCACCTTAATATCTGTTTAGTATCTATGTACCTGTACAGGACTATATTTGGTTATATATCTGCTTGATCAGCTGTGTGTGTGTGTGGAACATTCCATACACTATGAGAATAGTTGTAACATCATTACTTTGAAAGTGATTATATTAATACTAGAAGCGTGGAGGTGTCCATCAGCCCAGCCTGCACCTTCCCCACTCTGGGACCCCTTGAGGGATGTTGGGGCAGTCAGACATCCCTCTCACAATCCAGGAAAGCTGGATTCCAATTGCTTGCCTGCTTGCCTGATTGCCCCTAACCACTTCTGCCTGCCAACCTGATCACCCCCTAACCACTCCTCTGCCAGCCTGATTGCCCCTAACTGCCCGGCCTTGCCAGCCTGGTCACACCCAACTGCCCACCACTGCTGGCCCGATTAGCCCTAATTGCCCTCCCCTGTAGCCCAGGTCTCCCTAACTGCCCTCCCCTGAAAGCATTGTCCCCCCAACTGCCCTCCCCTGCAGGCCTGGTCCCCCCTTAACTGCCCTTTCCTGAAGACCTGGTCCCCCCAACTGTCCTCCCCTGCAGGTCTGGTTGCCCCCAACTGCCCTCCTCTGTGGGGGCGGTCACTTTTAACTGTCCTCCCCTGCTCACCTGATTGCCCACAACTGCCCTCCCCTGTTGGCCATCTTGTGGTGGCCATCTTGTGTCCACATGGGGGCAGCCATCTTTGACCACATGGGGCAGCCATCTTGTGTGTTGAAGTGAGGGTCAATTTGCATATTACCTCTTTATTATATAGGATTGAGTTGTAATTTCTAGTATTTTGGTTAGGAAAAGTCAGTGACATCCAATTTTGGCCCTAATTCACATACAGAGAAGTGAACTTGTGATGATAAAGAGAAATGCAAAGTTGTGGAGGGTTGATTACTTTAATACTTATTTTTAACTATAATTTACTTTTTTACAATACTATATTTTTTTAAAACATTTTAAAAACCTAAATTAAATATCCTAAAACCTGAGATTTAGAATTCTGCTTCCTAATAGTTTTATCTTAAAATCTGGTTTGATTTCATGTAATTTTTCCACATGAAAACTGGGAGCAATAATAATATATTCATCATCAGACCACTTTGAGGTAATGACTTATGTTAAACTACATCAAGCTTTTAGAAAATGGTCCACTGGAAAGCTGCATGTAATTTATTATTGTTAGTTTAAAATTGTGTTGTTCCAGGTTATCTAAAAGTAAATACCTAACTGCCCTGCCTGAATAAATGTGTATGTATTTTATTAGAAGAACTGCCTATGAGAGAAAATGGGGAGAGCTATGGGTGATACTGGGAGATATATTTGAGCACCAGGAAAGGAAGACTGAATGGAAGCATCCTAAACTGTTGTGCAGTCTAAGAAGGGTTCAGCAAATCTGGTGGTGTATCCTTAAGCCAAGATTGTCTAAAGAGGAATCCTGTGACTTGGTCTTCTCAGCCATTTGTACCAGCTTGGTGATGGATTTCAGAGCACAGTAGTAGGGACTCTTAGACAATTATGCTCCTATAGTTAGAGGTCAGTAAAACACATTCTTTTTTTTTTTTTTAATAAATCTTTATTGTTCACATTATTACAAATGTTCCTCATTTTTTTCCCCTCCATTGCTCCCCTCCACCAGGTTCCCACCCCACCCTCTGTCCTTTCCCCACTCCCCATTGTCCTTATCCATAGGCACATAGTTTATGTTCAGGTTCTTCCCGCACCCCCAAACCCCCTTTCCCTGAGAATCATCAGTCCACTCCCTTTCCATACCTCTGATTCTATTATATTCACTAGTTAATATTGTTCATCAGGTTTTTTTAATTCCCTTGGCTTTTTTCACTTGTTGATAGTTACATATTTGTTGATCATAATTTTTATCTATATCTTCTTCCTCTTCCTAAAGAACCCCTTTCAGCAATTCATATAATTCTGGTTTGGCGATGATGAACTCCTTTAGCTTTTTTTTTTATTTGTGAAGCTCTTTATCTGACCTTCGATTCTGAGTGATAGCTTTACTGGGTAGAGTATTTTTGGCTGTAGGATCTTGCTATTCATCACTTTGAATATTTCTTGCCATTCCCGTCTGGCCTGCATTGTTTCTGTTGAGAAATCAGCTGACAATCAAATGGGTGCTCCTTTATAGGTAAGTACTTTTCTCTTGCTGCTTTTAATATTCTCTTTGTCTTTTGCTCTTGGAATTTTAATTATGATGTGTCTTAGTGTGGTCCTCTTTGGATTCCTTTTGTTTGGGTTTCTGTGCGCTTCCTGAACTTATAAGTCTAATTCTTTCCCCAGGTTGGGGAAGTTTTCTGTCACTATTTCTTCCAGTATTCTTTTGGTATCTTGCTCTTTTTCTTCTGGGACCCCCATAATTTTGATGTTGGTTTGTTTGAACTTGTCCCAGAGGTTTGTTACACTATCTTCAACTTTCTGGATTCTCTTATCTTCTTGCTTCTGTGGAGGAGTGTCCTCCTGCTCTTTGTGATCCAAATCTTTGACTTGATTCTTGCGATCTTCCATTCTGTTTTGAGGACTCTGTATAATATTCTTTATTTCAGACAATGTATTCTATATTTCTAGTTGATCCCCTTTCATATCCTCATAGGTCTCATTTATTTTATCGGCTTTTTCTAGGAAATTCTTGAAAAGCCTTATAAGTGTGGTTTTGAACTCTATGTCCAGTCACTTCTAGTCCTCCATTTCTTTTGTTTCTGATCTGTTTCCTTGTCTCGGCATTTTCACAACTACCCTGAGTTGGTAGGATGGCTTTGTGTGCTAAGGTGTCCTATATGGTTCAGTGGGTCAGCCTCCCAGTTACCTGAGGTGGACAGTCTTGGTGTAGCCCTTTGTGGGCTGTGTGTGCAGTCTTGTTGTTAAGCCTTGCTTGTTGTTGGTATCCTGGGAAGTGTTGATCTTCAAGCCAATTTGCTATGAGGATCAGAAGTGTCTCAGCTAGGAGGGTTTCTGTATTCCGCTTGGATGGAGCGGAGTCTCTGGGTGGCAAAGCCAAGCTTTGGTGAATCCCGCAGGATTGGTTGCAGGCAAGCGCACCTGTTTGGTATAGGCGCAAACAAGCTTTGGATTCCTGTCTGTCCCTTCCTAGTAGAGTCCTATTTATGGAAAACAAAAATGCTAGCCACTGGAAGGGCTTCTGTGCTCCGCTTGGATGGGGCAGAGTCTCGCGTGGTGCAGACAAGTTTTATTCAGCCTCTCCCTACGAGGGTCTGGTTTCTGAGTCCCGCAGTAAGGCCGCTGGCTTCACACACCTCCAAGAGATCTCTGCCCACTGCCTGACAGTCTGGCCTCTCCCTGTCTGGGGCCATCTATCAGAGCAATAGGGTGGTTCTGTTTTCCTCCCGAACAAGAAAG